GTGAGATTTCAAAATTTCAACAATATTCAATTGCTTCTTGAATATTTAAAATTTTTTCAAGAAGGTTCTCGAGGATTTTTTTCTAAAATGTCAAAAACAAATAAAAATTTTGTAATTTTTTTCTTCTATTTAATGAAATTATTTTAAAAAGTTTTAATATTTTGTGAGTGGCATTTTTTAAATAATAATAAAATTTAATTTTTAAATATTAAAAATAATTTTATTCATTACGATATTGTTACTCGTATAATTTAGAAATGTCGTGTAGAGGCTATTAAAAACTTTTTAAAAAAATTTTTTTTTTCATTTAAAATAGGTGAGCGTGTCAATCCATATCACTCAATTACATTATTTATTTAATCATTTGCATATTTACATATACTTATTTATTAAAATCATGGAAAATTTATGTTTACCTGCGTATTTCAATTACAAAGCAATATAATTTAGGTTATGAGCTACGTTACGTGGGCATTTCGAATTTTTAATTGAGTTTTTTAAAAACTTTGAAGTGGATTGCAAATTTTAATAATATGTAACTGGAAATTTACAATTTTGGAGTTAAAAACAGCTTTTGAATGCGATTTAGGGATTCATAATATCATTACCAACCACCTGTGACAAAATTCTGGGTTGAATCGTTATTCATCTTCAATTTGCGTTAATAAACCATTGAAAAACTATATAAAGCGCTTGAACTTCAGAAAATATATACGGTAATTAAGTATAATATGTTAAAAAACAATCAGATAATTGGTTAATTTTTTTTTTTGTTTTTAACACTTTCCGCTTGATTCTGTTCAGTTTTTAACATCAAATTGGCTAAATTCCATTTGATATTGTACAATAAGCAAACTGGCGCCCGAGCAACATTTCCAACAAGTTAAAAACATTAAGAAAATGTAAAATTATGAAAAGGTATTCGTTTCACATTTTCGAATAGTCAGAGTTGATTGACGAAACAATATTGACTGACGATTTGAAACTTCCTAATTGTTTCATTTACGGTATATATATTTACATGTGAAACCGCTTGCATATGGTATATGGTAGGCCGGTTGTGATACCGCTGGATCTGCATATCCACCACCATCGTTTGCTGAACCAGCCTGTGTTTTTTTTAAAGCGGTTTAATACCCTGGCATTACAAAAATTACATTAAAATTCTGCTCATTTTTAAAGTTAATTTTTTTCGAATTCGAAACTTTTTATTCAAAATGATATAAAAGAAATTATAATTACATTTTTTTTTTTATTGTTTTCAACTTAATTAAAGGACGATGTTTCAATATTGAATAACTGGTGCTATAATGCAAGGACATTAATTTTTTTTTTTTCGTTTTGTAATTTTAATTGATTGTGTGTTTCTTATTATGAATATGATTATTAAAAAATTTTTCAGAAAATTTATGTAAAGCGAAAAGAGAAAAAAAATTATAATGGATTGAATGAGTCCTTTTGTTTTATTTATTTATTTCTTTTGTTTTTTTTTTCTTCTTTTTTTGTTTTTGAAATTCAATATCTTTATGTTGAATAAGTTATCCTTTTTCTACGTAATATACATATTTATAATGAAAATATTATACAAAATTAAATCCATGTGAATCTAAACCTAATGGCATATAAGAGTATAAGAGGAGTGAGAACAATGATTTCCTTGTTATTCATTAATGATTTTCATTTTTTTCTAATAAGATATCTGAGCTAGGTTGTTTTAGCAGACAATTGACTGAAGGTTGAACACCGATTAAAAGAGAAAAAATTTTTTTTATTAAAACCTGTATAGAAATATTTTAAGGGGAAGATTTTGAGAATTAATGTAAAATGTATACTTGTCGTGGTATATGTACAAGGTGAAACATTAAGACTTAAGATTCAACATTTTGTCTACCACCGCGAAATATTTCAAACCTGTTTTGAATTTCAAATAGTACCAACGTGGTAGTATAGAGCGAGAGACAGAGAAAGAATAATCAGCATCGAATTGGAAAAACCTTTCGGGTCTCGTCAATTAAAGACTAAGGACCTTTTAGTTGACTATGAACAGTATCATTTCTTTAGAGTTATTGTACTGGGTGAGAACCAAATGGGAATTTTCATAGGTCTCTTGACCTGACGTTGTCAACTAAAACCTCATAACGTAAAACCTGGAGGGTGCGGGACCAGCAAATTCTGTGAGGAATTCCTGGAAAGAGATATGCCATCGATCACAGGCAGCCATTGATCACCGGCTTATTGTAGACCTCCCATATCCCATTTATACTACCTCGAATCAAATTAAATACCCGCTGATATCCCTCAGTGACTTGAACGTGAGCATCCCAAACCCTACCCAAACTGTTTGCTTCTCCTGACGGCAACACAGAGTGTGTATGGTTTTCTCCTCATTACCCCAGTAGAATATATGCAAATGGGAATCCGACTTTAATCATAAAAGAATTTTAACTCATAAGAAAAGAGGCTTCCTCGGACGTCACATTCTCGTAGCGAAAGTTCTGATCAAATTTTTGGAAATATGCTAATCTTATATATACTTAGTTTCATCAAATTTTCTCCGAATAATATTAGTTTTAATTTTATATTGCTATTGATTTGAAAAGTAAATACGCACTACCCTATACATAGGTTATCATACATACATACATAAAGAAGACAATTCATATAATTGAAATGAGTGAAGAAAGACAGTTAGAGAAAGAAAAGAGTTAACAAAAAAAAAAAAATTAATAACGAAAAATTAAAAAGGAAAATTGTTGAATTGAAAAATCTGGAAAAAAAAGTTAAATAGGAAAAAAAATTAATAAAATAAAAACAACAACAACAATAACAATAATATTAAATCTGAAAATGAGATGGCGTTGTTTTAATAGACTTTTAATTATAGAAAATGTACAAAGTTTTCTATTGTTTTGGTATACAGGAGGACGCTTTTCTTTGTCTTTTTTTCCCCATTATTGCTATTTGTTATAATTTTTTTCTCTTTTCCAATTTTTTTTTTTTTTATTATTAATTCATTGTTATTTTATGAAAGAATATTGTATATTGCCATATGTATATGTAATGTAGATATAAAAAAAATAAAATAAAAGGATAATAATAAGGAAATAAATGATGTGATGAGTTAAGAATTTCTGATAAGTTTAGACAGAAAAGTTGATAAGGTACTCGTATACTATATAAACGTTTCTAATGAATGAATGAATCGTATATATACATATACCGATTTTCATTTGATTGAAACAATACCAGTGTTGTGAGTTTCAAGTGCAAAAAAACATACTTACATAATAATCAAAATAGTAATAATAATGCAAAAAAAAAAATATTGAAAAAAGTTAAATGGAAAGCATTTAACCCCCTTGGGAGGCTATTGTGCGGAATGAAACGAACAATATATTATGATATTAATTTGAACTGAAATGAATGATTGTAATATGATAAGGGGTGCTTTTATATCATTTTTTTGTTATATTCTTTTACATTATTAGAATTGTAATGTTATACTTTCATTTTATATTATTATTATTATTTAAAATTCTATTAGAGCTATACAAGAAACGAATATGGAAAAACTTTACTAAAATTGTAAAACTTTCACAAATATACGAAATTTTTTAATTGAAAATTAACATTTGTTAGCATTTTATTAACACATTTAAGGCAGAAATCACAATATTTTAAAAAAAGAGCCTAATTATATTGACAGTGGCAAAATCTTGATGTCTTACACGAAAGCCATACGAAAAGACATTAGCAAGTATCTTGTAAATGAATATCATAAGGTTTTGATTTGAATATTGGCAAGTTTACTAGTTCAATTATGAATTGAAGAAAAAAACAATAGTAATCTTCGAAATTCAGCTCAATACTGTACTTAACGGAAACCAAAAAGAAAAACAAAAATTAGTTTTTAATAACCTAAAAAAATTTGTGAGAAAATTCCGTAATTGAATGTCAGAAATGACATAATGTCATGACCATCTTTTATCAAAATTTTTAAACTATTAATTTTGTACTGAGGCAAAAACTTTTCATATGAAAGTATTACAGTTTTTAGAGGGCACTAAATTCAAGAAAATTTCTTATTAAAATAGAAGCGGAAAACACTTTTATTTCACTGTCAATGACATTTGTTTGACGTTTGTCTTAGTTCTTTTTGGAGCACTGCACCTAGGTTTGATAATATTAAATAAGTTAAATTTCCATTTCCAACATACTAGTTTCAGCAGATTGAAAATTTATTGAAACACAAAATAGAAATTCTTTAAATTGTTACAAAAATCACAATCCTTCCTTAATTTTCAATTATTTATATTATCTTTCTTTCATAGATTAACGTATTGTGAATTTTTTTCTTCTTATTATGATCGCGATGTCCTATTGAAATTCTTCTTATTTATTTGTTACTCGTATAAATAATCATTGTTCAATGTATTGATTGTTCAATTATATAAAAAAAACAACAGTATTAATAATAATCAAAAGGGAAGGAAGGAAATGAAAATTTGATGGATGAATGAAACAAGAATTTTATTGAATGTCAGAGACGGGACTCCCGTAATTTCTCTTGTTTTGTTATTTATTTTTTATTATTATTATTATTGGGGTGCAGACGAGTGTATTAACTCTATTGTCTAGAGAAAATCTTAATTACTTTTTGAAGACAGAATATATACATCTAGTATACAAAATTAATAAAAATAAGAATTGAAATAATGAAAAGGATTAATGATTATCTTTGGTAATAAAAAATGTTTCACATTGTAAATGATCAATGTAAATTGATAAAACAAGTTGTGATGAGCATTTAAGGAAATGTTTATGATGTTCACATAGTTTAAGATTTAAAGAAACGAAGGTAAATAATTTAAATGTTTACACAAACACAAAATGTAATAAAATATTGTACCTTTTGTAGGACGTAGTAGTGAGGCGCTGTATTTTAATTAGTAAGAATGAATTTTAATAACAAAATGTAAGAACCTTAAATCTAAACTTACCCAATCGTTTAGATATTTCGGAATTATGCATTTTTGGATTATCTTGTGCAATTTTTCGACGTTGTAATCTTGACCATACCATAAATGCATTCATTGGCCGTTTTATATGTTCTTCCTGTTGACGTTTCGTTGTGTTTTGTATCATTAAACTAAAAAATACATCACTAAAGAAAGGAAAAGAAAAAAAAAAATTAATTTAATAAAGAATTGCAATTTTTACTTAATTTTTTTTTATTATTACCTAGCACTACTACCACTATTCATTAAACTTCCCATATTTTGATGTAAATTACTCATTGATGATGATTGTGAACTACTGCTACCGCCTAAACTTGATGTTGAACCTAAATGATGATTACTTTGTGAATGAATTGAATGATGTAAACTATTACTATTAACTCCGATACCACCACTGCCACTACTTCCTGTACCACTTCCAGAATGATGTTGTGAATGAAGATGATGTGCAGCTGCTGAATGATGTAATAAAGATGATGAACTAGAAACCGATGCAGCTGATGATGGTGATGATATTGATACACCACCAGTTGATGATGAATTTGGTGTTGAAACTGATCCACCACCACCACCGTTATTCGATGAATGTAAATTTTGTTGGGCGTGATGTAAAGAACTTAACGAATTCAATGATAGATGACTGTGTGCCGAATGACTATGATGTGAATTTAAATGTTGTGTCATCGATTGATGATTTTGTAAACTTTGGTTTGTTGATATTGATAGCGGATGTGTTAATGAAATCCCAGAAAAGGATAAAGATGGTATACGGTCCATCATTTTGAAAATCTGTAAGATATAAATAAAATGAAAAATATAAAATTGAATACGTAAAATTTTCTAGAATATAATTTAATGAAATTCTATGGGATGGAAAAATATTGGTAAGAAATTTAAGGAAGACCAATTTGAAACATACAAAGTAACTGATGTTGAAACATATAAGGAGATTTTCGTTGCTTTATTGTTCTTCACATTTGCGTTTTTGGAACTGTAATCGACTATCTTAATCGACTATCTTAATCAGTTTGGTTTGGATTTTACATAAGAAGGCTGGCGTTCGGAAAACATTCGGGAAACTGTTTATTATTCATCCACAGTTTTACAATAAATGTAATAATACAGTTTTCTCGTAGAAGCAGAATTTCTTTACATGAATTCTGTTAATGATATTTTGTCCAAAAATTGCGAAAATCTGAGTCAAAATTGGACGCTCTGAATAAATTTCATGAGTTCATTGAAATAGTATCATATTCATTGGGGGAACTTAATTTTGCGATCAGCGTGACTCATAAATAAGTTAAGATTAGGACAACATATTTTTCGATGATTTTCAAATTCCATTACTTATTGTTGCTTTTCAAATTATGTGCCCACGCAATAATGTACAAATTGAATTACAGTACAGCTACTACTTATCAACAATTTTTCAATTGTTCAGAAAAAAAAAAATTAATTAGTAAATATTCAATAAAAATTACGTCTTCCAATTGTTCAATTGTTTCAAAAATGAAAAGCAAATATTAAAAAATTTTAAATAAATGTCACAAATATTTTAACGTACTACAGCTGAAACAATAACTCATCTTATTCAAGATAAAAATAGTTTTTTTTTTCCATTTAATTTTCTAACTTTTTGTTAATCATTCTATGGTGAAGTACAACTTAAAATATCATTGAAATAAAACAAGATCAAATATAATTAATAAACAAAGGTTGACAAATAATAAATTAGCATTATGATTTATTTGAGAAGCGTGTGATTTAAAATTAAAATATGCAAATAGAATAAGATGTTTGACAAATTTTGTGTTGAAAACAAAATAAAAAAAAAAATTAAATATTTTATTTTAAAGAAGCTATTGTCACTCTTGCTATCGACTAAGATTGGTCTGATACAATTCAAAATTGTAATCGTTTGTAATATGGGACTATATAAGAGGTAATTCTGGAATATTTCGATTATTTTCTTTACTAATCTGATTTTCTTTACTAATCTGTTTTTAGGTTTACCACATTGTCCGAACGTCCAGTAATTTATACGCCAATTTACGAAACTTCTATATTTTTTCAAATTTTAAGATTAGATTAGACATAGGATAATAATGCACCGCGACCCAAGGGGTAGATCTATTGTGCCCCCTTCCACTTATCAAGCCTATAACTCTCCTGCGAGACCTATCCTGACAAATATCTAACAAATTCGAGTATCTCGTTGTGATCGAGTTCTGGCAGTTTTCTTGCTGCGAAAACGTAAGCACTTATCATACCCCTTCCGCTGTGACGGTCAATCGAGCTCGCCTGTATTTTCCCTCTTTACCTAGGTCCTATAACTAACCACAAAAAGACACAAGGTTTTTCTGTCTTCTGATTTTTCCCAGTTATCGTATATCAGTTATAGTTATTTGTCAATTTTTAAATGTTCGGCATTCTCATTAATAGCTGAATCAAATCTACATCACCCAAGCGAGCTATCACAAATTGGACTTATATAATTTTCTATATCTTCTTAGAAATTATAATTTCGTAATTTCTAATTAAATATATCGAAAATGACTTCCTGCTATAATTCACTTTCTTCTAATTGCAAAATTAATAATCCGTAAATTAAGAGAGTGCTGTATGATCCTCAATAAAGTAATGATGTTCTCAATTCTTAACTAAGCGTCGCTGACATTATTTTTACGTGGAATGGAGTTTATCAAGATAAAAAATAACTTGGAGTTCACATTTTATTTACACGTGCTACAAAAAACAAATGGGAATTTTGTATGACGTATGACATTAAGCAAATGTCAGTATAATACATTTGTTGGTGTTTGGTTTAAACATTTTTCGGTAAGAAATGACGTATACGTATTTATTCGAAAATAAACTGCGTAATATTCTCTTCATACGTCATAATTATACATGAAACGTAAATAATATGTACTCAGTACAGTTTAAAGTCTACTGCTGTTTTAATTTCAGAATAGTATTAAGTGAAAATTTTTGCGTTACTTTCTCTTCTGAGAAACAATTCAATTTTAATTTATGAGTCATATTAAATTACAGTATAATTTCATATACAGGTATGTAATAATATAATTAATAATAATAACAACAAGTTAATTAATTTTAAGAAGCTTCACCTTTTTCGTATAGGACAGAATTTTGATGGAGTATAAAAAAAATAGGAAATAATAAAATTTATTATTTTTGCCGAAATTATTGCTCTCCATATTTGAAAATGGTGGTATATTAAAAGGTGTATTTGAAGGTAATGTTTTATATTTTTCTTTTCTGTCACGAAAATATTATTTAAACGGATAAATAAATTTTTCTAGATCAAATCTATATAATATATTGATCGCCCACATTTTAATCCAAAAAAAATATTTCTTTTTTTAATAATACTCGTAATTTTGATTTTAAATTTTAAAAATTTTTTGTTAATTGAGTGACAATGAAATATTTTGTTCTATTGTAATTTTCTAGTAGTTTTATATTGAATATTTTCATTGTTATTCTACTCGAATATCAATGTTTTAACATCTGTATTAAATTAATTTTTGGTTAAAATTAATAAATAATAAATTATTTAAAATTTCATAATACAATTTGTATAATATTATTATTAAAATTATTATTATTTAAAAAATTTTTGGAAAAGTGCTAAAAAAAAATAACACAATGAGATTTTCTTCGACGGTTTCGATAATCGATTTTTGTAGATTTTTCTCTTCTTATTTTTTTTTTCTTTCTTAAATATGGCAGTCATTAGGATAAATTGATTTTAAAATGGTATACTTATGGCGCTCATTTTGATATTGTTTGCCTTTGAAACAAGCACTCATATTTAAGATGGAAGTAATATGATATCCAAAATTATTAGTAATGTTGGCCAATTCATTGGTGTTATTTACATTATGTGTATATAGAATTAAAATTAAATGATTTATTTATTCAAGTTTATACATATATTTTTTTAATACAAATGGAAAGGAAATTTAAATTTAATAAAAAATAACTGGTTTTTTATATTATAAAAAAAATTATACAATAATCAAATATTTTTTTTTATTTTCTTGTAAAACTAGCATTTTAAATATTATTATAAGTTTTTTTTTTATTATATTTTTGTCGAGAAATGAATTTAATTTTTATTCAATTAAAATGTTAATTTAAATAAATAAAAACGGTTATTATAAAGGTGACTGTTTTTTTTTCTAAACTTTTGGATTTATGATATTTGTTAACAAATAAATTAAAATTTGGATTAGAAAAACGTGTCGATCATTTTCAGTTCGAATTTAAAAACAAATCAAATTAAATAAAAAGTGATCGGTGCATTGATCCGCATCGATTTTTTCAGTTCTTCTTTACAAAGGTTTTTTAATACACAAAATGGATTTGATTATTACTATTGACTATGTCGACGACCTCTTTATTAAAAAAAGAGAATTTGGTGTTTATAAGTTTCAAAGTTTTTATTTAATAAAACAGAACATTCCATTCAACATTTATTTAAATTCTATTCAACTTTTATTTAAAGAAGGTAGGTATACAAAGGAGCATTCCATATATTAATATTTAACTATATTTCATGTTCAACTCCCGAAACGAATTCCCAGTGAAACTATTCCATGGAACACATACTGGCAACTTTTAACTCTATGATTCACAAAATGCTGAATACAAGGAAAGGAAAAATTACTAAAAGAAAGCATAAAAATTCATGGTAGACACAGCTATTGAGAATGGATAAAAAACAAAAAATGAAAAAAAGTTAAAAAAAAAGCAAACAAAAAATGAAACAGGGAAATAGGAGCACGCTCTAAAAACAGAACCGTTTACCATCCGATACATAAGCAAAAATATGGCATATTTAACTTATTATTAATTTGGTGAGAAAATGTAACATTCACACATTTGGGGTCATCGAAGACTACCAACTTTGGAGTTTATTAAAGTTTTGGCTACAAGAAAAAATACGGGTTATACAAAATTAAATGCAACGATTGCGACAAATTTAAGATTAATCAAACAAAGAAAGCAGTACAATATTGAACAATATAGCTTTCGAGTAAAGTAAAACGATCCTATTAGGAATCGACTATTGTGAATCTGCGGTTGGGTAAGATTCATAAGAAACAAATTACGCAACAGCTCAGCAGATAGTAATGAATGTTTTAAAAAAAGCTATTAGAATCCAGCAAGGAATACTTGTTAAACATTTTAAATATAAAGAGATTGTTAGTGTTATTGTTTTAGTTCCGGAGGCTTTACTAAATCAATCTCAACAATTTGACAATTGTCTACTTTTCGTGTGCGTACACTGAAATTCAAATTTTATATTATAAACACTATTATTCCGAAATAAATATTTATTCAAAACAGAGGTAATTTAAAGATTAAATTCTTCCATAACAAAAAATAAATCTTCATTACATTAATAAATTGAAAAACAAAACAACCAAAATATACACTTATTGCAAAATTTAAGCGTGATCAAGGAGCGTCAAACCTGGTCTAAATTAAATAAATAAAAATTCAAAAATTTATAAGTTGTAACCTCTTCGAAAATTCATAGTATAAATTTATAGGACAGCAAAATATTCTCATGTTATATATACAACAAAAGTCATAAAATATATTCTTAACACCATATGAGACCCATTACAAAAAGATTCAAGATTATACAAAAAACGAAATGGAAAAAGATAATTTTCAAAATCTTCAAAAAACAATCATTTAAGACAGGCCAACGAGTTATATAATAATCTTATACTATTATCAATATCAATAAC